CCTTCTTCATTGCGATTAAAAGCCCTTAGATTGTTAAATGTGAAGATCTCACTTTGCACTGAATTGTTTGATGAATCTTTGTTCAGAGAACTACTTCTCTAATGTTCAAAGAGTGTAGGTGGCATGAACATTCAGCCCATCTGTCAAGGAACTTATCCCTAAGTTCCTATTATTACGAAGACGCTCCGCACCGATAAATACTATGCACGACTTCAACTGCAAAACACCAGTATTGTAAGTAGGAAGTTATACTGTTTGTCAATTAAAGTGGAGAACAGTAAAAGTCTATAAACAAATATTTTATACAAAACTATGAAGTACTTTTATTCGTTTTCGGTCGTCCTCGTCGAACGTGTACACGATCGAACCATTCGCGCCTTCGAGTTGCCCACCAATGGCTACCAGTTCCAAAAAAAAAACGTTCAATGTTCACGTCCACTGATACTCCCCGGCAGAAAAGGGTTCATCTTTTTTTTCTATAGCGATGATAAGCTCGAGCTGAACTGCCAATGGGGGAACCTGGGCCAACCGCGACTAGGCTAAAATGGAAAAGCAAGACAAAAAAGCCCAACACACAACAAGCATACCACATCACACCGACACTTTCTCCCCGGCGCGTGGAATCTACGCTCTTTGTAGACAGTAGCACCACTGATCCGGTTCACGGATTGTTGGTTTTTTCATATCACTCTGGCACAATCCTCTCCCCGGCGTATCCAATCGCATACGCTGACTCTAACACCACTCGATTTGTTCACAAGTTTAGAAGACTAGAAACGACTTCAGAAGTACTTAAAATAACATTACAAGTTGATTCACACAATGCGACAACTATAAAATAAACCAACAATTAAATGAATCGGAACCCACTCAATTACCTGACACAAACATATGTACAATCAATACATCAAATGTTGTGGAGTCCGCCTCGACGATCTACCCTTGAAGAATTGTAGGACTTACAGCAGTACGCCTACATTCCTTCTCAGGTTGATGATCCAAGAGGAGAAAAGTCCGAACACAAATATAATCAACCAACAAATAGATGAGAAATGATACCAATTCAATGTATACAACATATGTAAAAACAACACTCTAAGCACGTTGGGCTGCTCACCGACGTACTACCCCTTGAAGAATTGTAGTACTTACAACAGTACACCTACAACCCTTCTCAGGTCGACTCACTAAGTTGGAAAGTCGTCAAGTGGTTCATCCTCCGACTCTCGACTCTCAGCACCTCCCAGCAGACTCGGTTTTATAATATCTCGCACCAACATACCACAACTTGTTCTCACCTCAACCGTCCTCATCAACCCATCACCACTACAGATCAGCCTTACTACCACTCCCAAAGGCCACGTTCCTGTGACACATTTACCTGCTACTAAGGCTATATCACCAACCTTTAAGTTTCTGCACAACTTTTTACATTTGTCTCTGGTTTGCAGTGTTAGAACATACTCCTTTAACCATCTTTTCCAAAATATATCTTTCATGTGCCTGGCTTGTTTCCATCTTTTAATCGTAGGTATTCCTTCCCCGCTTGAGTCCTCTATGCCAGGGTTACCTCTCAATTAGAATAATTTATTTGGCGTCAACACATCGAAATCCTTGACGTCGTCCCTCACAGGTAATAGCGGCCGGTCATTTAGTATTCGTTCAGCTTCACAAAAACTGTCTCCAACGTTTCGTCATTCAAACTCTGGTTTTTAACCATGGAGCTTAAATTACGCTTGATAATTCCTATAAGTCTTTCCCATAGCACACCTCTATGGCTGGCATGTGGTGGGTTGAAGTGCCACTCGATGTTTCTGTGGTGATTGACTATTTTTATGTCTGTATTGTTTAAATACTTACTGTTGTTTCTTAATATATTTCTTATATGAATTGAATAATAATAATTCCACCAAATACAATTTCCAGAATTCATCCCTCTCTGTGTTTTGGTTGAATTCTTGTAATTCGATCATCTCGAAATACTAATACTGTAGTACCCCTATACCAACTGTAAACATGCTTTTTAATCTAATTTGTAACTTGTATTATATGTGTATACAGACCGATTTTATATGTACTTCGCAAACAGTTGTCAATTTACTGTTGAACATTACTTTGACACAATTTCAAATTTGACTACTGCTATAATACACATTCGTAATCTTCGCAAGTGCCTTTTGATTTACGTTGTGGGCGTCGAGTAGCCACAACGTCTGCGCACATGAATAAGAACGAAGAAATACTAGAATATATGTGTACGGCAGTTTAGTCAGACAACGCACGCAACAATACTACTATTACAAAAAATTACAACATTTTGGCGTCGCTATGGAACTAAATAACCTTGGAAAGTTTCCTATAAATGGTTCACCGCGGGAAATCGCTGATTATCTTCAATGCTTCGACGTATGGTGCATGTCAAAGAATGTTCGGGCTGACAAAATTTTAGCTCATTTTATTACTGCTATTGGGCTAGATGCGTATAGCCTAGTGAAGACTTTGTCGTTTCCTGATAAACCAATTTATCTGCCATATAATAAGCTCCGTGGACGTCTAATGGATCACTTCAATATAACTACTTTTGAAACACGAGAGAGGGCTCAATTCAACAAACTTGTTCGTGCTCTCAATCAGAAGACTAGAGACTTCATCTTCAACTTCAAATACAAGCAGCAAGGTGCAACTTTGGAGATCAGCTGCATACTCAACTACGTGATCGTCTAATTGCTGGAATCAATATTCCTAAGTTAGAGAAAGAGTTGGTTCAGATTCCTTCTTGTACCTTTAAAACTTCTGAAGATTTATGCATTACATATGAAGATGTCCACAGTGAATACTCTGCTCCCACTACATCAGTATCTGATGTCATGCTCTCCAAAGTCGAATATACAAGTGTTCATGGAAAGCAATCCAAACTGTCGTCCACAGGTATTAGAATGCAGAGAGAGATCAAAAACATTAAACCGTGTTTTTCTTGTGGAAAGGTTCATCTACGAATCACTTGCCGTTTTCGGGGTGCTAAGTGTCACAAATGTGGTAAAGTTGGACACATCAAGTCTGTTTGCAGAAGTTCGAATACTTATGTTACTCAGAATTCTTATGATTCTCCCAATCTGTCTAGTAAAATGGAGTCAATGTGTCTTTCAACTCCTCACAATACTCAATCTCATCTAATGAGAACATTCACTACATGTTCAGCAACTCAAGCGTCAACTTTATCACGTGTTTTGAACATTGAGATTGTTGAGTTGCAATGGGAACTGTTGGAAACACGAAAAAAATTCAATGAAATGGAAGCTGACTGTTTGTCCATTCGTCAACAGCTGGCTGAGATGAGAAAGCAACTGAATAACATCGAGGAATTGCTACATTTGGATAGATTGCGTCTGTTGAATGCAGAACATACAAGTACCCATGAAAGTCCTGCAAAACTATTTAAATCTCGAATTCTCAGAAAGCATCTGATGTCCACGACTTCTAATGTACATTATTGCAGAGGGAATGACTATAGACCTTCTGTTGGATCATACTACAAAAAATGAGAAATCGAATGGTGAAGACATTAGACATCTGCTGAAGAAGCTGTGGCTTACACGGCGAAACGTTCAGAAAAATCTTATTGTCATTTTCTTAACACGCTGAGATTAATTTAAATAATTTATAATGAATCAAAGATCACTCAATTCATAACAGACGCCTGGACAATGTGAGAATAAATGAAGTAGATCGTTCCGATTATAAGTTTGATGATTCCGCTACTAATCCTTATTTTGTAGATAATTCAGAAATAAGTCCAGATAATACTGATGAAAATAATATCACAGAATCAGTTAGAAGATCGAAGCTACTTGCAAGCAAACCGCGACATCATTATAAATACGCAAAGAGATATTCGAGGTGTGGTGGATGTGGTGATTGACAATTTCTCTCTCTGTATTGTTTAAATACCTACAGTTGTTTGTTAATATTTATCACATGAATTACAAATAATTCCGCCGAATACTAATTCCTTAGTTCATCCGTCTCTGTGTTGTAGATTGATTTCCTGTAATTCGGTCATCTCGAAATACTAATACTACTATTACAAATAATTACAACATTGAATGAATATTTTTGCTATATTATTTTTTCATTCCTTTACGTTCCCAGTGCAACATAGGGCTTCAAACTAGAGCTTTGAAGTTTCGGTAGCCGTGGTGTTTATTTATTTTTACTAGATGGGGTTGTTAGCCAGCCTCATGCTCAGCCTTCCCTCTTTACCAGTCTTATTATTGGCTTAGGCAGGTAAAGGAGTGCGTCAGCCGGGGATTGAACGTGGTTGGTGAGCATTCTACTGCTGTGCCACCGATACACACATTATTATTTGTACCAATTATTTACTAATTTTTTATACAGACAGTGAAGCACTCTTCAGGGTGTAATGAAATTATCTTTCTTTAACTAGCTTCTTTCTTCCTTTTTATAATGCAGGGTTCCCCTTGAAGCAGGTGAGTAAACACCTGTCCGCATGTAAGAGCCAGGCAAAATCCTACCTCACCGACACCAACCGCTCGTGGCAGTTTCTTACGTGGTTTCTTTCTCAACTTATCCAGGTTGTACCTGCTGTAACAGCACTACGTTCTCGTCTCCATGTGTCACTATTCTAGTAAAGAAACATAAGAAATCAACCAAAAAAATATGAAATGAATAGGAGAGCTGCATTTTGAACAAGAGATCGACAGAACCGTCACTTCCTAACAGCAAGACATTCATGGCTTTGAGATAGTATTCGGATGTCAAGAAATAGGCGTGCATCAATTTAAAACTCATGCGATTGACTCTAGCCCGTGGGTTTCCTTGTCATATAAAGTCTGATTTAGTTAGACCTTCGAAACCAGCTCTGTAAAAGAATTGCAGAGTGTGACTGGCTCTGTGTAATCATTGAAGCATGTTCTAGCAATGCATGATTTCGGGTCTCAGAAGACGTGCTATTAACACCACAATCGTTTTGCAGACATTATTTATTCTTTTTTTGCATGATACCTAACATGAGAAAAACCTGATAACAGGTTGAGATAGGAAATTTCAATAGCTAATGCTTAGTAAAAAAAATTAACATGTTCAACATAGTTGTATTGTGCATATTCAGGAACCCTATGTTTTCAAGATTCTGAGTAACCACTGTCATAGGTTCAGCTGAACGTGAGTTTGAAGTAACCAAGCAGGAATGAATACGCTCAGTGATAAGCCCTAGATATATTTTCAAGAAATTCCAACACTATTCAAATATTTAAAGGGGCTAATTTTTTCAAATCTTTGAAGAAAACCTCTCTTTACACTTGAAAATGTTTTACACGAGAACTGTAAACTTCCCTGCATATTTCCATTATTGCATCTATAAACAGGGAAGATATAATCTGACTACCCTTTGTAAACGTTGGGCACGTAATACCATTAAGATGATGCCTATAGACCGGTTTCCGACATCCACAATAAACACAGAGAATGTTGTTGACCAGTCAATGCGAAATTTCATGGTCTGTATTAGTGCATGTGATGCTTAAAAATAGTAGCATAGACTGCAGACCGTTTGGTGGTCAATGAAGCCTTGAACCTCATTTTGCACACTGTTTTCAGTGTAAACGGGCACAGGATTGCGTGCATTTAAAAGAGTGAAAATGTCAAGGATAATCATCTGACAATGACGAAGCGTCATTCATGCGTGTTTGAAGATGTTTCAGTAAAAGTGAAGACTCAACGCCTAGCTGATTTCTCATCGTTATCTAGTCCCACATATGCACGACTTGATTACACCTTTCGAAGTCACACCTATTTTTGATACACTCGACGCAACATACTCCTATCACCTGGCCTTCATACATCCTGGTTATCTCCTAAATGCTGCCGTCAATACGCTCTTCTGTCTACTCGAGAATCTTCGCGTGTGTTCTCGCTCTTTGCTGAGGTGCCCGAATCTTCAACCGCTTCACTCATGTTGTCGTGATCCTCTGCATACACGATGACATTCTGGTAACTAGTGGAAACACATCATTGAATTACTTAACTTCATGTTATCTCATGTTCTGATTGATCACACATTCTAGATGCATTTACATGACAAGCGAATTTCACTGACTATGATTCAACCTTCCACCTGCATCACAATACACTGTCTGATATAATCTTGACTTGCATTTATTGGCTAATGTGTGCTAAAATTGTTGTATTTATAATTGGGTATTTCGAAAAGGAATTTAGTGAAAAACAGTCATCCACTTTTGTTTATTCTCCCTCTGTAAATATTATCTTGTACTGTTGTACTGTTATCTCTGCATTCATAAGCATGATCATACTTTACCTCAATTTCACAATTGATTATCAAACCAGACATTGTGATGGCAATAGTTGCTGTATCCCTCTAGCCCTACAAACGTACACATTCATAATAATTGACTGAATACCTTATTCGTAATACTTATTATTTCTTATTATTAGTATATCACCATGTTATAAATAGTGTGGTCATCCTGGTTATTATCCTCTAGTTCACAGACTTGATGAGGAGTTGTCGAAAAGATGCTTTTGATTAAATTGGGTTCTCTAGTTCTAGGAATGCTAGTAGTTGAATTAGTATCTTTTAGAAGTATTGGTTTCGTATGGATTTTGTTTCATTGGTTGGAGGATTTCATCATGAGCTGACATCAGTTAGGGAACCATTGTAAAACATGGGGATACTGAACAGATGTTCCATCCAACTTCGGGAGTCCTCATCAGAACGCACCCACCGGGGTTTGAATGTAAGGGGGTAACTTATCGAAGGAAACATTGCGAAGTGGTCGAGATATGACATAATTTAGCAGAAGTCAGAATCAGTTGGTCATTGGTTCGATTCCAAGTGACCGAATCGTCTACGAGGTTGCCTTGAAACCATCAGGTCCTGGATTTGAACCCCGGTGGGTGCATACAGCTGAAGAGCCGCAAATTAGGATGAAAAGGCTGTCCAGTACACCCAGGTTTTTCAGTGGTTCTGAATCTGACGTCAGCTCATAATGAAATCCTCCAACCAGTATCTTTTTGTTCATGTGGTTTGTGTTTTGCTCATTCGCGCAAAATTCCATTTGATTTTGATTTTCACTCACTCACTCACTTGAACTCACTATTAAGTTTTTAAATACACATAATTGTTCGCCTGTCATAATTTGACTCTACTATTCATTCCCGTCCTCTTCAACTCTCCATCATATTATGCATCAATTTAGTCTGTTCTTTGTTCTTCTATGTTTTGTCTAGTCAATTCTTATTTCCAAGCAGAATTTGTACTTTACCCGCTCCCTCCCTCGTCTAATTGTATGATAAACAGTAAGTGCCTTTTTAACACTGAATAGTTTGTCAATTAACATAGTCTTCCGAATTATGCTGTCTATACTTCCTAGCCATGACTAGAAGTTACCGGGAAAAGTGTGTTCAAACATTCTGTAACTTATGATTTGACTTAGTTTGCTATGTTCCCAGTTGAAGAGATTCCATGAGATTAAGCGAGCTCGTATTATCTTCGAAATATCTTCGTTATTTTTCTGCTCAAACTACCGAAGGGAACTGATTGTAGGATAGTGCTAGGTTATAATTGGAAGGTAACTACAGTCATCAGAGGTGAATTTCCCTATCACTTCATCTTTAATATTGTGGTGCGAGTTGTCTGCAAGCCGAAATTGTAGACAACAATTTACGTCAATGTTCACGTCCCGAATCACAGTCATGAGAAAAAACAACAACAACAAAGCTTAGCTTTGAGAGAAGAACCGCCAGTCTTAGCAGTGTTAGCGTGTGGAAATATGACTCACAGGATATATGGCTTGATTTTCTGAGAAACGGCCACAAAGAGATAACAGAATAACCTTCAGTAAGAAAAACCAAAGTCTCTAGATCCCTGAATAAAGTCAGTTGCCTGGCCCTTGTCTTCTGTAGTTACAATATGCCTATGACATTTTATGCACACCGCTATCACTGAACATTGTAGGGAGAAGTCGAAATATTATTGTTACTTTTATTATTATTTAAAAATTTTTAAACTTTTCACAGGTACTACTACGGACACGCCGGCGACTGCGACTACGTAACAGTACAAAAATCGAATGAAGTGAAAGAGAAAAGAAAAAGCATGTTATCTTCAGATGGTTCGTGATGACAGTCGAATATGTGTATATATGTTCATCTCACACGGATGACGATTTTCCATTTGATGTCAGTAAGGCGTATTCACTCTTCAAGAACAGAAGAAAAAATGCCAAATTAACGAATGAATGCGTAGTTTTAATAAAATGAAGGACGATACTGAGGGTAATAAAAACATTTCATAGAGTGAATCAATCACTGATTTGCGACATTTTCAGTTTCAAATGACTGAATTACTCAAATCGATTATTGTGCTTTAGTCCACACGCTGGATCATACTCTTGATGCATTCAAATGTGGGCAAGACGTGTATTAGGCGCCTTAGTTAAAAGGATCACACCACAAGAAACCAGGGGCACAACAATCAGTCATAAAGAAGCCAAAGCTACCCATCTATTTATAATACCGACTTCTGAAGTTCTCATTACACAGTGTTTAGTTATTCATTAGAAATGAACATCTCATCTGCTTGTCTCTAAACCTCAACACTGCGTCAATCAGTACGACATGAGGTGTGATGACGGAGGAAAAGCGATAAGTAGACTGATGTTTGCCATAAGGTGTATGGATTGATTCTGGTTAATAAACTTACCTTTAAGTTCGCCAGAACATTGTCATAAATTGCCTTGGTTTCTAAAATGATAAAATGCAGTATGTCGTCAAAAAAGTCTTGCTTTATGTGTAAACTTGAATAGACGCATACAAAAAACCCAGATAAAATGTTATTTTATCTATCGTTTCTAATCATCGAGTGTAAAATGCTACCTAGGCCCTGACTCAGCGTTTACGACGTGCTAGACTGTTGAAAGCGTCTTGCGAAATATTTGATTCGGGAAGGCGAGAAACACATTCATCAGCCTGAAATCAACCTGGAAATCTTCGTCACTCAGCATCACCAACAAAATTCGGATTTTCAATACAAACGTAAAGTCAGTTCTTCTATACGGATCAGAAACTTGGCGGGTCACAAAGAATATTTCCAAAAGTCTGCAGACCTTTATTAACAACTGTCTTCGCTCAATACTGAAGATCAGATGGCCGGAAAGAATCACCAACAAGGAATTATGGGAACAAACAAAGCAAGAACCAATCGCCCAACAAATATGCAGGAGAAAGTGGAGATGGATGGATTGGACACTCATTGACTGAGGAGACCGCTGGGTGACATTGCGCGCCAAGCCCTCGAGTGGAAACCGAAAGGGAAGCGGCGTGTGGGACGTCCAAGGGTGACATGGAGGAGATCGTGTGAAGAGGAGTTGAAAGAATATGGATTAACATGGATGCAGGCGAAAAGTATAGCAGAAGACAGAAGAAAATGGAGACGTGCAGTTGAAGCCCTATGTTCCACTAGGAACCCAAGGGAGCAATAATAATAATAATGTTTCAACTTACCATAATTTTTTGAAGAAATAAATTTGGAAGCACCGACCATTAATATCATTTCCCTCAGGTTATCTATTTCTGAAAAAGAGGATAAAGTGTAAACACGTAATGACAGTATATCACGGATAGACATGATGATTTGTGGACTGATGAAGACGAGAAGAAACATTTCTAATTTGGAAGACGAAAACACTGAGTGAAGGAAGCAGTGTTCACTTCTCAAGTAAATTCCCCTCATCAACTCTAATGTTATACATCCATGAATATATATATATATATATATTAACATATCAAATTATCCCCAGTAAACAGTAGACTTTTGTCAACAGCTGACTTCGCCAGCTAGATATCGAAGATCACTCAGACGACCAGATAGGATTAGAATCAAGAAACTCTGGGAACGAACAAACCAAGAACCTACTGACTAACAAAGAAAAAAAAGAAAACGGAGAGGCGTCAGGCACACACTGAAGAGATCACTGGTAAAATAGCATGCCAGGTCATCACCCGAGTCGAACCTGAGTAGGAAACGAAGAGTTGGGTATGTGCCTGAGGTTGGTAAAACAGCGAAGATCGTGTGAGAAGGAGATGAGGGCCTATAGGCAATCGTGGGGCTGGCTTGATAGGACCGCAGAGAATAGAACGAAGTGAGGATATGCTGTTGAAGTCCTATGTTTCACTTGAAACCTAAGGGAAGAATAATATTTATCGTAGTACAATCTTAGAGATTTAGTCAGTGGAAAATGCACTCGAAGAAGAATCATTAGGGTGTTTGCGAGTAAGTGGACTTTCTCTTTGCAGACAATAGCTACATCATTTACAAAAAATATAACATGACAGTCACTTTTAATAATTATTTTGTCGAATAAATTTACAAACATCAGTCTGAGAAATATGAAGGATAAAACTAGTGAAATAGTCTTCCACAAAGCAATGACATGTTTCGAATTACCTTCAGTTCGTTCAACCGATAGAAGACTATCACAAACTGTCAAATCTGGGGTTGATTCACCACCTATTCAAGAAGAAAAGTTAACATTGACAGCATTTCATTGGTTAAAATGAACATGGTGTGTTTAATGTTACTGATCATCAGTATTGAATGATTTGACTTACTGCCAGCATTAACTGAAATACACAGAAGTCAAAGTATAGAAAGACATTAATCGTTTGTTATAATGTCTGAAATATGAATATTTGTAGGTCACGATATTCAACAACCCATAGCTAGTGGAATTGATTCTCGGTGAGTAAGCAATGAGTGACAGATCTTCATGGAGAGATACTTGAATCTTCATAGGGATTGGCTTGGAGTCAATGAACTGGCCATCTTTTGAATAAGTGATGGGCACACCATTGCCGACTAGTTCTCAATTGCTCTCAATTCACTTCTGAACACTATGAGTGGCTGAGTGTAAACTATTCGTAATGACGTGGTCATTTACAGAATGACTGGAGTGATTAGCATCAGTGAGTAATCACTTGCTCTGCTTTTGATAATCTCATAAACAAATCGAGTCTCAGCACACTGATACTGTTTCACAAAATGACAGTGGAATTACACAGAATCACTACTGGATTTCAACTATTGTGCAGTGACTGACGAATTCACTCAAATATCCGACAGACAAACACGTATGTCTTTCAGTCATATGCTTACGCTATGAAAGATAACTAAGTAACCAGTTAAACATGATGGATTAGAGCACGGCGATGTTGAACTGAGTCGTATGAGTGAGAAATCGTCAACAGTAATGTAGACAACTTGCTTAATCAATAATATGAATGCTTACCTACAGATCCATGGATAAGAGATTGAATCCAAAGAGTATTATTCGCAGGCATGACGAAGAAACCACCTGAATAAAATGCAGAGAGAACAGAATATATATTGACCAGGAATTCGAAAATCACCTGTCATATTGATCGAGCGAAGCAAATTCAATGGATAATTTCATGCTTGTTTGACTATCTGCCGAAATATTAGGGCCATACAGTTGGAGATTTTCAGCAAATGAATCAACTGAGTCTGTTTCGTCAACCTCCTTCTCCATTACGCATTACTGAGCAGAGATTGAATAAAATACTGGATACTCTTACACTGGTTGCGTTTAAGTGACTGATAGTGAAATACGGGATGAGCATCTTGAGCAGCTGAAAACAGTCTGCCATATTTACGCTTGTCTTTCAACAGCAGTATCTTGACTTAACTGAATTTCTTTCACAAACCAGCTTCAATAACTCACCAATCGAAATGCAAAGGTAACGAGATCAAACAGAATGAACAGTGAACTACAAAAGCGTACGTACGATATCTCTGTTCCACAGTTTTGATGGTATTGAAAATGCCTGACAAAACAAATGAATACAGGAGAAATTCAAGATAGACAACAGTTGTAATAATCACAGGTGATAAATTCCTAGTCATGAGATATCAAAATTAAATAGGAAGTATATTATTCAGACAAAGTGTTTGAATAACTCAGCCATCAGCCTTCTTCACATATCTCTCTGATATTCAGTAGTGGCATTAATTCAAAAGATTTAAATAGTCTAGTCACTTATTTTTGCAGTTTGAACATGAACAACAAAAAACGTTTCACGTACTTTCGTAAATTTTCTGTCGATAGTATTCTTCAGAAGTATCAATTTGACACTGCACGACTAAAAGAACGATTATTTCTCAATGTTGATTAAATTTGTTGACTTACACTCAGCAATATTTGTTTTCTTTGTTGCGGCCTGTGTTTCCAAGTCGTCTAAAGTGGGAAGGAGATAAACAGTCTGTTGTCTTGTGCAATAGAATTCATGATCACAAGACATTGGAGACAATGTTGTCATTATCGCTCGCTTCTCAGGTATTGACATACAAGCTGATGAATAAACAAACGACAGTATGGTGTCACCAGTTCTCTCTCCTCACTCGACCTCCAGATATTGGTGTTGACACATATTTGAACAGTATTCGACAATTATTTACTGCATATTCATGTACAAAGTGTTTGGAATCCTTCAACGACTAATAGTGTAAAACCACACATTCACTTCAGAAAACCAATCGTTTATACGAAACATTGCGAAACTGTTATCAGTCAAACTGTGATTCTGGTCAAATTACCGGTTGTAAGTCTACATCCCATCACGACCATCCTCAGTTGGAAGGATGACTAGAGCTGGTGAACACTACAAGTTTGATGAGAGATTCATACTAGGAAGAAGGAGAAGACCAAATATGCAGCTTAAAAGTCTTGTAGTAGCGAGTGACACGATTGTGATTAATAAATTCCCCTCGAAGTATAATCCTGTGAATAAACCTGTTTCACTCTGTGATATGTCCAGCAATCACGTTACTTTCGAATGATATACTACCTGCACGGAGTTCAAGTAACACACGCATACTATTGATTCGAAGCATCACTGACACATTAAATTAAGAAATAACATTCAAAATACATATGTTAAGTAAGAGCAGGCTTGTAAAATCACCTCGCATCGTGTTCATTTCCACTTCCAAATCGGCTGCTGACTTTTCGACCTGCGTCATATATCCTGTAAAAAATTGCAAAACGCGCCACAAATCAATTGACAATGACTGTAGTAGTGATAGTAAGCGTAAATTCTCATCATCAGTCACGCCGACTTGGTCTGCATTCCCAAAGTGTTCCAGTGCTACATGCTCTATATGCTTCTTCCAACTGCCTCAAACTCAGATAATTGCGAATGAGGAGAGAATACGACAAAATGACTGCACAAATGAAAATGTATTCAATGAACACAAATTTTATTATTTGGTCAAATATTAGGCAAATAAATAGATTGAATATTTAAATCTATTGAAACGAATCCGCTTACCGGCATAACTATTCATGTAATGTTCGATGAAGTTGATCTCTCTACGGAGGCGATTCGCATCTTCAAAACAACAAAGCGAGGCAGAAATTTATTGAATTAGGCTTCGCTGAATGCTATGGCTTGTTCAGTTGCAAGAATGAATGAAACAGAGAGCATGTGTGACAGCATGCTTCCCATTTTAGAAGACTGAATAATGCTGGTTGATATGTTCAGTGAATAGCGTATTGAAGAGAATATCCCACTCGAGAATATGGAACGATTCCGTTGGAAATATCCTCTCACTCACTCCTACTCACAAGAAGTAATCCTTCTTCAACTCGAGAATCCAAGCTATCAAGCCTCATTCAGGCGTCGACTGTCACAGACAGAAACTGACTAGACTCGCACCACGATCACCTGGCCAATGTGAATACTCTGTCTGACTGAGAAATATGACGTGGGAATTCAGCTTCCCACTGTTAGGAAGAGTGGAATGATAAAGTCGATTTCCACATATCCACAGTGTTCATATTCTCAAAGTTCAACGCCGTTATCTTGTTCGATTAGATGAAGTTGTTTCACTCACTGCATTTCCTCGCAGGATTTGCATGATGTTTCACCACCAGACTACTCGATAATAGTCTAAAATTAGCTGACAAACTATGAATTGTAGAGGGAAATATCCGCATGTTTGACATTGTAGAAATCTCGAGTGATCATTGATGACGTGACTGGATATTCGAGAGAATTTACAAGTCAGAAACAATTGGATTACAACAAACTGACGCGAACGTGAATGTTTAAGTTACTGTTCAATGTGCGACTACTCACCGTAATGTCTTTCAGACCGCCCATCATGTTTTATCAATCCTATAGCTACAAATAAATAGAATTAATTAATTAATTAATTGAGAATATGCGTAATTGAGAATATTTAATCGTACGAATCACTTGATCGACAGTGAGAGAGAATCATTCACCCATTCATTATTTCGTAGGAAAACCACCTGAACACTCATCTCGTGCACTGAATCCACGTCCAGCACGTGGATTCAAACTGATTCGACTCAAGATGAGTTTGTAGTGATGAAATTGAAATCATCAATGTACACAATTTGTGCCAGAGGAATGAATGAAATGTATACGAATTCGTGTTATTGGTATGTGTTAGATAAACCAATACACTCGGTTGTCATATCGTAGCTCAAGTTCATGCAAAAATAATGTTTATATCGACGTCTGATAGATCAGATCGATTAAAGTGGTTCATATATTCCCACAAATCACTGATTATCATATACTATATGAACAGTTGTCAATCACAATTCAGAAGTGAATTCTGTACTTTAACATATTCATGTAACATGCAAACTAATGAAATCAAGTAACGCTTACCTGTCAGTAGAGATACACGCAAGAGAAAGATGAAAGCGACGGTTTGAAATGATACGAAAGCGAACGCCATGATTATGTTTAGTTGCTTAAAATCGGATGTATATATATATATGTGAATATATTTTGGCTAAACTTTATTTAGAAAACCAAGGACGCGTACACATTGGATGATATACAAGTACTGTTATTTTTTGATGTCCACGTTATCATGGCGTGATTATCAATACTATAAATAAAGTGAACTTTACTACAGAATGTAAACAATTTTATTCAAAGAATATGTAATTAGTCATAGAGAAAAGGTAAACTCTGGTATTATTTCATGTGAAAATTTCTTCACTTTACTCTTATAACTTATTCTTGTGCTAGAAGTCGGTATGAACAAAGAATATTCTTTTCAAAACATTCCATTCAGGTTCTTATAATTATTATACGGTAACAATAACAGTAGGTTTAATGACGGATATAGTTTGCATTCAGAATAACAGTTTATTCATTTTTGGCTGGTGAAATAAATGATATTTCTGTGCCAAATGTGGTGAGTTGATTGTAAATACAAAGATGGCATGAAGTGGATGAAGACGATAAGTATTCTTAATAGAAAGATTTAGTGTGAGGAATGACGGTTGACCAGTTAGTTCAAAGGTGTTTAACAGGCTTGATGAGTTGCTACTGCACATGGACAGTAGGCTGGTAAACAGGAGATAGTAAGACTGTAGTTAGCAGTTTATCATGGAAAAATCATTTTTCACATTGTGTGGGTGGTTTCATATTATGGAAAACGAGATAATATCACTGACAATGAAGTGCAGTAGCTGTTAGTGTCAGATTTCAAGACAGATGAGAAGACATAGATAGCATTGAGGTGCTAGGACTACATGAGAGCAGATGAAATCGAAGTGGACTCTGCAAATTGTTGACTGGATAGTCAAGAATCTACTCCAGTCTGGTCACTCAGACGACAACCAGGAGCACACTGAGGCAGTTAGTGGCTATCATGATGTCACCAGTGGCAGCCAACTACCTGCTGCAGTGAGAACTAATCTCATCCAGGATGATGACAGCGAGATTCAGCACAAAGGAAGGAAGGAAGGAAGGAATGAAGTAAGGAAGGAGGAGGATAAGTTACAATCATCCAATGCTACACGTCCACAAGCAACCCAGAAGAAGAGAAGAAGGATGATTTGCAGAGACTGCTGGAGACAGTTATGGGTAAGATGCCGAATGGCGGCATGGGTTCTAAACTGTGCGCAAACAACTTACGGACAGATCTCATCATGGGTCGAATTGATGTCGGAAAATGTATGAGAGTGGACAACTCTTCACAGAATTCTGAGAATACACTGATTTGATGACTGGATATGGCGTGTTGAAGCACTAGGTTGATTCCAAGACGACATAGGTTTCACCGGTTAACGACATCGAAAATCAGATGTTGTATCTGCAAAAACTGGAGATGTAGCTTCCTGGACACAATATCGATACGAAGAGGAGATGTTGTCTCGGATCGATATATGGTGTTATTAAGTTTCATGATCAGGTTGAAAGGCTTCAGTATGAACGCCTTCGCATTGAGTCATCTACATTCAAATTCGTATGTCTGTGGACAATCAACCAATAAAATTTCGTCACA